CCCTGTCATCTCACAAGATAAAAGAAATAAAGAGTATAAATGTTAGAAAGAAAGCGGTAAATTTTTTTACTTGAAAATGATATAATTGTATACCTTGAAGCCCAAGGGAAACATCTGGAAAATTAATTATAAAAATAAAACCTGTCTTAGAGCTCTCTAGAGGAATAAAATCAATATAAAATATGTTTGTAAGTATACAAGAGATTTATTAGGTAGGCTTACAGGCTCAGAATCAGAAGAATCCCAGTGGCCATCTGCAGAACAGAGATGGAAGAATTCAACATGATGGCCTGTATGCTGCAGAACTAGAGGATTCAGCAGTGATTGAAGGCTGAAGACATGGAGGCTCATTACAGAGTCACCAGCACAAGTCTGCACTGGAGGGCTGAAGAGCTTGTGCTAGACACCTGTAGAAACCAAAGGCCAAGATCCAAAGACAATGGCAGAGACCGAGCTCTAAGGAGAAGACTTCTGCTTTCCTGCCTTATGTCACCCAGGCTGCAAGCTTATTGGCTGTTGTTACCCACACCCAGGGTTGGTCTCTCCCATGTATTTTGGGGCCTACAGGTCAATTATGCACAAATCCATCCAGGGGCTTGCTAATCTGGTAGTTCCTACTTAAATCAAGTTGACACATCACAATTCCCAAAATCTCAGTTAAGTGGCTAACAAGTAAAATTAAGAAATTATTGGTTTGTTTATAAACAAAAAAGGTTTAGTGGATTATCTACTAAATAGTTTAAAGACAACTAATTAGGATTTATTTTTTTGAAGGTGTGTCAAGTGGGAGTATTTGAGGGGATACCAGATACCTAGCTTAATTTTCACGCAAAATAAATTGACAACGTATATGAGACTTAAATAGACAAAAGTAAACCAGAACTGGTAGAAAACATGAATGAATCCTTTCACTACTACTACTTAGCACTAACTACATATCAGGTACTACTGTAAGTGATTTAAAGAAAATAACCAACTCCTCACAATAATAGAATTACTATGGTCTGTATTTGAGGCAAAAATGGGTTAGGTGTTCTGTTCCAGGTTGTAAATCCAATAAGGGGAGAGAAATGATCCGGCCCTCCATGGTGTGTGCTCTGAACTTTGCTTCTATGATGACTGCATATATGTTCTATCCTTCTACCACCATGTGTGCAGATGATGTTTAAGCTCCTACTTTTAAAAACATTATAAATAAAGTAAAATAATTAAATTGGGAATAAAATAGTCACAACATATATTACAGGCATAGTACTGATTTTTTTAAATAAACCACATTTAATTACTTAAAACTGAACAATTAGAAGTAAAAGAAGAAGACAGAGCAACCAGACATCTGGAAAAAAATACCAAGAAGTTTATGCAGTATCACTCATCTTTAAAATGCAAGCAAGAAAAATAATTTTTACCGGTCACATTGCCAAATCTTGAAAAATTTAATAGTACTTAATATTTGACCACACTGAGAAAAAGACATATAGTTAGAAGCATCAACTGGCAGTTTTTCAATGGTAATTTGTCAGTAACCATCAAAATTTTCAATGTATCATTTGATACATTAATGCCAGTTCTGAGTGTATATTTTATAGATGCTTTCATAAGCACATGAATAGTTACAGAACCAGTGCTTATAACAGTGCTTCTCAGTGTAAACCAAATATATCTTTAAGGCATCATGGGTTCATAACTAAAAATTGGAACTACATTAAAATTCCATTAATGAGTATTTGCTAAATAAATAGATCCAAAAATAAATTCATATGCATTCATTTAAAATAACAAAAGCTACAAATACTGATAAAAACACATCCATGATAGAATGGAAAATTGTTGCAGAGAAGTTTCAAATATAGAAATAAGATAAACAGTACAAGTTTGTATACATGTTGAATTTTGTATACAAAAGACAGTGTTGACTGTAGCCATCTTTTAGATGTTAGATTGTGATCATGGACATATGGGCCTTGATACTATTTAAATTTTTTGCAACACAACCTGCAGTTAAAATTTTGTAAAATACTAAAGTTTAAATTTTTGTTTACAAGTCAAGAATAGCAGTCACCCTCTCTCTCATTATATTAAAAAAATCAACACAAAAATGGATAAAAGGCTTGAAATGTAAGACCTAGAACTATGAAATCCTAAAAAAAAAGGGGAAACATTTCATAAGTTCTGGGGAAGGCTTTTTTGCAATAGTACTTTAAAAAAAAATAGGCACTAATAGCCAAAATACACAAACTGAATAGTTCCAAAGTTTTAAAAACTTTCTCTGCAATCAGCAGAGTGAAGAGATGATGCATAGACTGGGAGAAAATATTTGCAAACTATGTCTGATACCTAGAATATATAAAGAACTCAACTCCATGAGGGTACAAAAAAGAACAAAAGTGGAGGGAGACCTGAAGAGATGTTTCTCAAAAGAAGACAGATGAATTAGTCAGCAGACATGAAAGAATGCTTAACATCAGTAATCTTTAGAGGAACACCTCAGTGGCATATGGGCTCACTCAGTGAAACAAAAGAGAGCCAGTGTGGAGGAAAGGGAGCCTGTCTGCACTGGGCAGGAATGCAGATTAGCACAGCCATTGTGGAAAACAGAATAACTGTTCCTCAAAAAATGGAAAACAGAATTACCGCATCACTCAGCAATCCCGCTACTGGATGTGCAGACCTGCGGCAGACGAAATCGGTATGCTGAAAAGACCTCTGAACTCACACGTTTATTGCCGCTTATCATACTCAGAAGAGCCAAGAGGTGGAAACAACTGAAATGTCCATCATCACATTAACAGATAAAGAAAGCACAGCATGTATCCACAAGGGAGCCTTGAAAAAGAAGGAAATTCTGTCATTCGTGATGATATGGATGAAGCTAGAGAACATTGTGTTAAGGGACATAAGCCAGGCACAAAAGACCAAAGCACACATTTCTTCTTGCATGTGGAATGTGAAACAGAGACGCATAGAAGAGAGGAGAATGGTAGGAAGAGGGAGACGATGGCGTGAAGATAAAACTCAATCAAAGGAATGGGTTCCAGAAACCTCCTGTAACTGCAGCAAAGAATGCGGTACCATATGCTCCCAAATAGCTAAAAGCCAGGGTTTTTAATGTTTTTACACAAAGAAATGATGTTAGCGGCAATAGATATGCTAGTCACCCAGATCTGATCCTTCTGTAATTTTCCACAATATGTAAATACACAGAAACATCACACTGGACCTCATAAATTTTGTATAATTATAATAAAGCATCAAAAATAAAAATAAAAGCATAGAAAATGAATGCCGATCAGATCCAACTCGTTGTTGGACAAATTTCCAAAATCTGACCTTGGGCTTAATTTGTTTTTCAAATATACAAACATACTGTTCACCTGGGATGGAGTCATTTGTATAAACATGTAAGAATATACTAATTGGTTTTTCCAAATTCAGAAATCTTTGTATTTCACCTTAAAAAATAAAAAGCTTACTGTAGTCAATGCAAACAGCCTCCTAACTAAAATTAATTCCAGATGGGTCTCCTTTTAGGAAGGGGAACACTGGGATTGTGTCCCTGCAGTTTGACAGTCTATCATCTAATTGTGATCATAACTGTTGCAAAGAAGTCTTGGACCAAGAAACTCTGAATGTTCAAAAGGATCCAGCGATTTTGTAGACGGTTGCATGGATAGGAGAAAGAGAAGGGCTCCTAAATGCTTCACAGAAAACACAGTTTAAACTCCCCCAAAGTACATACATTGTGTCTTGGAGGGTGACGTGGAACACACTCACTATTGTAATCATCTGACAATTGCATGCAGTTTGCAAAGCATTTTTCCTTCTGTCCTCACAGGAATCTTCACATCAGATGTTTGGAGTAGGCAATTTCCATAGATCTCATTTTATCAATAACAACACTGGGCACGGAAGGCTTAACGCTCATTCCCAAGTCACTAAGGAGTGAAGCAATCAAGTGAGCCCAAGACCTGACCAACGCTCACGGCACTGCTGACCTGTGTTACTCCTGACGGGGGAATCGCACTCTTTCCTTCTATTTGCATGATGTTATACCATTGAGCTCGGTGGATTTCAAAGCAGACCATGCTTTGGAACTGTTTGTTAAACACGGCTACTTGGAGCAGAGAGAAAATACAGTCAGCAGCCCGAGCTCTTCTTAGACATCTTGATCAGATTTAAGCAGGACAAACAGAAGAAAGCAATTCTCGCTTATCTGAATGAAAGAAGCTGCTGTACAGCCTGTGTTTTCTACTAGCATGTAGACTCTCCCATATATTTGCTGTGCTTTATGCTTTCTTTCCCAGGATTTCCAGTGGTGAAAAGAATTTCACTTTCCTTGGAGATCTTTCTCACACATACACCAACTTTCATCACTTGTCTGCAGTTTTATGTTAGACATCTTTCTAGCCCTAACATTCTCTGCCAAGCTACTACTATCTCATATTCCATTTATATTTCTGTGCATGAACCCCATACAAAGGAATTATAATTATGTGATAGCATCTTCCATTTGTCGAGTAGCTGTTGTCTGCCAAGCATTGTGGTAGCGTTCAATCACATATATCAATTGTCAAGAAAGCTCCACAGGTGCAGCCCTTGCAGATAAAGAAACTGAAGAGAAGCGTGAGTCTAAACCTTACAGAATTGAGTGTCAGAGGTGGGACTGAAATGTAGACTTGTCTGGCTTGCAAGCCTAGAATTTCTCTCCAGTAAAGATCACATCAGTAAGTATGCTTATTGTGTTACACACTGAAAGAAGGAACCTAGTGAAAATGTTCATTTTTGGGTATGCATTGTAATAGTCAGATCACTATTTTACATGCATTTTAAAAGACACCTTGGTGGTCTAGGATGATGGAATGCATCTCTAACACAAATGTAGTGCTCGTACATCATATTCTTACTAACCAAGGAAGGATTGCCGTGCACACACCCACCCTATTTTTCCACCACTTTCTCCACCAGTTGACTCTCCAAGGAAAGAAAAAGCCATATAATCATTGAGGTCTAGAAATTAACTTTTATTTTAAATCTGTCAAGAAATTCTGGCAGTTATTCATTTTAAAATGATTACAATACAGCAAAATAAAGAAGAGGTAATTCTATTTTTCTACAATATAAATTATGAGATAGATTCTCAGCTGCTGGCTCAGCATTGTTCAAGATTCTTTTAAAGGACTGGGGAGACTTTAATTTCCAGAAATGTTAAAGCAGCAAAAGAAAAAAAAATAAATTAAAAGTAATTGCAATTGGAGCTATTGCCAAGGATGTACTAATTATAAAATCTTCTCAATGTGTTTACAGAACAGACTCCAAGTTTTGGTGCTTTAAAGAAATCATCTGATAGCGGTCCTGTAATGGCTTGTCAGCTAAGATTTATACAAAGAATAAGTTTGCTGGTTTTTACAAAAAGATGACAAAAATCAATCATGACTAATTCAGATTAAATACAACCAGTATTCATTCATCTACATGAAATATGTTAAAACAAAAACACTTTTATTAAAATATTTAATACCATAATAACTTATAATAGTATGAAAAAAGAGTGAAGTACTTGTCCCTAGTTTTCATTGGCATGCTCACAGTTTGGCAAAAAACTGTTTTCTAACAATTCCAAAGTTTTCCCCCTGGATCTCTAACTACTTAAAGTTGTAAACCAAAAAGAACTCATACTTCCTCTGATCATACAGTCATAACTTACATATCTTGCTTTGCATTTACTGTTACTGTAAAACGCAAATTAGAAAACAAAGTAAAAATATGCACAAAATATTTTCATATCAAATTATCTTCATTACACGAAATAAACCCAATCCCCAAATGCTATGTTACATAAAAAAACTGTCCTACAATTTATATCGAGATTGATACAGTCCATATTTCAACCAGAGCAGCCTTTGGTTTTAAAAGGATTTTGAGAAATAAAGAAAAATGTCACCATATGGCTGTACTATTGGCTCTTACTTACAAAAAAAATGTTTTCCAGTTTTAAAAAATTACAAAAATTATATACCTAGGAAAAAAGTCCCACCATAGAAGAATGCAGTCTTTCTTTCCTTTTCTGAAGCACACATACTCTGTTGTATTTGGCATTGCCACTGTTTAAAGTTTCAAGTTTTCCCAAGATGATTAGAAATTACTGTTTGATTGAAAAAGATACTGTTCGCTGTTGATATTGATTGTTCTCACTCAATGATCATCTAATTTAGAAATGAAATGTTCTTTCTCTTAATGCATGATTTCATTTAATTTTTACTTAAATCTCTTACTTGGCCAAATCCAGAGACTGCTCAATGTTTTGTTTCCCATATGTTTTAAATTTAAAAGTCAATTTTATGTGTATATAAGTATATTCACAGAGATACATTTCCTTCATTGTCTTATTCTTATTGAAATACAAATTGTCCATCAGCAATTGTAATTTTGAAATGAACCAAATAAAAGGCTTTTTAGTCATTCCACGTGAAAGTTTCCATAACAAAAAAAAAATACTGAACTCTAATACAAACAGGATTATGTTTAAAAACTAAACTATAGGTTTGGTTTTCTACAGAAAAAGTTCAGTTATTTATATAATAAAGTATTTTTAAAACATCAGCAGAACTTCAGGGAAAGAAAATTCAAATGAATTCTAAAAGGCATTGTGGTGTTCCAGCAGTGCTTGAAAATTTTTTTTTCTGATCATCGTGTATTCTTTGCAATTTCCAATCAGCTTGTAGTAATCACTTCTTAAATGATTCATTTTGTGGATCACTGCACCTTTCATTTTGGAAGATGGTAACATATCAGACAAGCAAGCAAAATATGTGCATAAAATTTTCTCAGTCACTGTGAAAAGTACACTGAACAATTTTCAATCAGGTAGTTTTTTTTTTTTTTTTTTTTTTTTTTTAAAGGAACATTTCATCTGGACTGAGCAGATACCTAAGTTTTAACATGTGAATTACTGAGTCTGTTTCAAGGGCTTTCAAGAACTCTGATTTCATCCTGAAATGGTTAGGTTCGTCCGAGTGATGTACACAGACTAATACGCATAGGACACTGGCATTTTGAGGCATAGCTGTCCCACTATGCCCACGTTGCAGCTGGTTTTTGGAAAGCAAGGCACTTACTATAATGGGAATGCAGACGTCTTATGCATAGTTTGAATAACATAAAATAAGTTAATATTTTTGACTAAAATGAGTTTTTTATAATTTATATGTCTTTCATAGAAGCGGCTAACTGTTATATCTAGGACAATTAAAATAAGAGGAGGCTTGAGCAGGAGTCACCTGCACCCCAAGGAGTGCTGGGGAAGCGCGGACGTCACAAGCACCCTTCAGATGCACTCTCAAAACGGCCGTGCCAGTGGCACTTTGACGGTCTTTACTTCCGCTATGTGGGACGACTTCTGGATGATGCAGCTGGTGGTTCCCTGCAGCTTGTCCTTCCCCTGTGCGAGGTTTGTCAAGGCCATGGCCGCATTAATCTCCTTCCAGTACGTGTCATCCTTGCTCGGTCCCTTTCTGTGAGCTGCACTGGATTGAAGCAAAGCAGAAAGAAAACGATCAAACTCCCTGCAGGCTGCACTGGAAAGGGCCTCACTGCACAGCGCCCGGGGCAAAGGAAAATGTGGCTCACCTGTCGCCCTTACTGGATCCGTTTTCCAGAGCATCTGTAAAGAGAAGCAAAATTCAATTAGTCCCCTCCTTTTCTTTCTTAATCTCAGGAGTTTCATCATTTATTCACAGGAATGAAAGAGAACGTGGTTGAAAGTTAATTACATTCTAAGATAAAGTTGTTTTTATATTAAGATGCAAAAAAAGGAAAACCTTGATTTTGCTGTAGGTGCCACATAGGCAAGAAGTCATGTTTGACTTTCTGAATCTGTATTGTTTGGTTTAACACACCCATTCCACCCATTTCCCTGCAAATGACACGATTTCCTTCTTGTTAATGGCTGAATAATATTTCTCTCTTTTCCCTTCTCTCTCTCTCTCTCTCTCTCTCTCTGTATGTGTGTGCTTTTGGGTATTGAATCCAGGGCCTTTGTGCTGACTACATCTCAAGCCTCTTTTTTATTTTTAATTTTGACACAGGTCTCACTAAGTCAGGCTGGGCTTGAACTTGAGGTCCTCTAGCCCCAGCTTCTCAGAGTGGTGGGGTTACAGGAGTGTGTCTCCATATCGGGCTTATGCCATATTTTCTCTGTGATCAAACTATGTTATATGCATGCATAAATATGCCAAAATAAAACCCCCTGTTCTATATAACTAATATGCATTAAAATAAATAAATAAAAAGACTAAGATCAGGTAATTAAGATACATAAAAATCTGAGGTTTAGTATGAGAAAAAAAGTGGGGGGGGGGCTTTTCACTGAGAAGCCATCAGTGTGAGGAAAAGCTAGGGCTCACATGAGGCCAGGTGTTTGTCCCGCCTGCGCCCCTCCCAGACGTCAGGCTCCAGGAGCTGGCACCCCTCTGGGGAGTGCTCACACAGGGACAGACGTGCGCATCCTCACCTCTGCTCCTGTCTGTCCCTCGGGACACTGATGTCACTCAGCACCACACGAACGGGAAGAAAGACGAAAATGGGTTCTGCGTCTTAATCAGTTTCTCTGAGAAGCTCTTTGGTTAAGGGTGATTCCTTTAACCAAGGACAAAGTAGGGAACAAAGTATTGATATCCCAGAGAGAAGAATGTGAGGGGCTGCCTACATGGCCAGAGAAAGCGGGTGACCTGAGACAGACATACACACTGTCCAGCAAACCCTGAGCCCAGTGGTGCTCAAGCCAGTATTACCATCGTCACCTGTGGCACCAGTGAGCACTGCCAAGCAGCGGCAGCTGGGGCCCTGTGGTGCACGAAAGAAGCAAGGACAGTGCAGTTTTTGCTCAAGGCCTCTTCTCTTTCTGTGCCCTCTACCCTCCCCTTTTTCTTTTCCTCCTCCTCCTCAATATTTCCAAGGCTTTTTTGTTTTTCTCTCTGATGCCCAAGGCTCATTAGGCATCATTTCCGATTCTGAACTGTAAGAGGATCAAAGACTGCAAAGCCAGTTGGGGTCCTGCCAAGCCATGGACCCCAAACACGACCACAACACATCCAACCAGGGCAGTAATTAATTCCCAGCAGGGAGATGGCCACGAGAATCACACAGGCAGGTAGACCAGTGCTAAGCTTCAGTGCCCTCTGTGTGGAAAAGAGTAGGGAAAGCCCATTAAAAGACCCTGAGACAGAAACGGGCCACTGTGAGCTCTTCTCACCAACTGTCCCTGGGAGCCAACGGAACTAGAAAACAAAACAAACAAACAGAAAACCAGGCAAACAAGCAAACAAAGCTCCAAGGCTTTTATAAAGAACAAATGAGATCACATGTGTCTTCCCTAGAAAAGGAACTGCACAAGTCCCTCCAGTCTCCTTTCATGGAATACTCAGGCAGCGTTTATAAGGCTTTAGGAATCCTTTAGCTGGATCTCTGAGCAGTTGGATGGTCGCCTTCGGTAGCCCAGTCAGCTTCTGCATCATCTGGCCTTGCTTTGGCTGCTTTGGGGATTATAAAATTACTCATGTAAGTGGAGGAAGGCACCCCTCTGATTTTCCTGATTTATGGATCACTTACTCTGTGCGAGGCACCATTCTCAGAGTTTCGCATTTAACTTTATTTGGTGTCAGTGACTTGGTACTCAGATAGCATATTTCTTCAGTGACGGTGAAGAAGGCATTCTTTATTCATTCCCATTATCCATAAATCTTTGCTCGGTAATGACAGGGACAAGGCGCTACTAGGACAGAGAACAAGTCATGGCCTCTGTTTGGGAGAAAGCCAGTAACATTGGACATTTTACAACGAAAAAATGAGTTTAGAGCTTTGCTCAATTTTGCCCACAAGTTACAGCAATTTTATTGCCAAAGTGAAGCAACAGATTACGGGGATATTTATTCAGTGAAGAGATCTGGCTAAAGAAGCAGAAGGTTCACAAAAGCTTAAATATTATGAAGGAAGCCACCAAACCTAATTTAGACGTAACTAATTGCCTGGATTCACAAAAGAAGGCTTCCACAACGACTCCCCTGATGAGCCACCAACCAGAGAGGACAGTTACTGTGCAGACCAGAAGGAAGCCAGTGCCCGTCAAATCCACGGCGGAACTCAAAACACAGTGATGACATCAGTGCATGGGTCCTGCATGCGGAATTCCCTCTCTGGCTAATTCCAACACACTCACGAGGAATCCACACGAGTGTTCTGTAGTCCCAGCAACGCCCAGCATGGCCGACCCTCCCTGTGCTTGACACCTTGAACTCGTGCCACTGGGGAACAAGTTTATGGGGCCGACTGTAAAATTATAAAATCTTGCTTACTCTCAGAATGCATGTGTTTTACACTTTGCCTATGAAAATACTTTTGAAGTATAACAATCCTTGACTCCAATTCCTACTTGAGTATTTTAATTAGTTTCACAAATCTTAACCTGTATTTGAAAGACTGGATTCTGTATCTTATTTTAAGGCAGGTGGGCATATCCAGGGTCATCAGGTATGTGGATTGGTTTCATTTCCAGAACAGAATAAAAATCTTTATAAAATGTAGCGAAGAGAAGAAATATCTTGTGTTACTATCAGCAGTGCTAAAATTGTGTGTCAGAATGCTCAGTCTCAAGTAGTTCAAACCAACAAGAAAAAGCTGGCTATTATTACCTTTGTGGGCTTCTGTGTCTGGGCTCAAAAAATAAGTTGTTGCTATCACTGGTCAGTGTCTCTAGGATATTCTGTCATGAATCCTAAGGGGCCACAGACCAAAAGCAAAGCAGAGACAGCAGACACCCTTTCACTCAGAAAAGTTGGTATTACAATAAGAAAGCGAGAACTCTGAAGATCTGATGATTGGGAGACATTTTTATTTTTTCTATTCTTAATGTCAAGAGGAAATCTGGAGAGGTGTCCGGCTATTTTAAAGGACTGATATCATCTCAGGGGAACTCAGAACACTCACAATTCAATCATTATGTGAAGTGGTGGTATTAAGTGTTGTAATGCTTTTTTCTTATGTTCCCTTCCTTTGAAGTAAGAACTCACTGGCTTTTTTTGCAGTTCAGCTATTTGGTGTCTTTTCGGCCCAAAGCCAGTGTTTAAGGAGCAGTGGGTCTGTTGTCCCCATCACTACGAGTCACAGGGCTCAGGCCACTTCTTTCTGCTCATGCCAGGTGGTCTCACTGGCTCCCGCCCCCCAGAAGTTGCACCCAGTAACTTCAGAGACCCTTGCAGGGTAAAGAAGGGTGCAAATGCTGCTAAAATTCGGGGGGCACTTGCAGGTCTGAGCTTGCTCCCGGCCTGTAGGCTGCTCCGTAGACTTCGTTGGATGACACAGACTCGGGGTCGAGCCCCTCACATCTAGCTCAGCTGTATCTCTTACTCTGTAAGTAGTTTGGCTTGGCCTCCCAAAAGTCTGAGCTCAAATGCCTTTTTAGAGTCTAAGGTTCCAAAAAATCAGCTATGCTGTCAATTACCATAAAAGCAACTGGTTGGCAGGAACAACTTATTGAACCAGCCAAAAGAGCGTGTTTTAAGACCAAAGGAAAGAAAAAAAAGAGGTGCACAGTTAGGAAAATATTGGATGCTGTAAAACCCAGACCATGTTGAAACTTAAAGTGGGGCTCTCCTCAGTTTGGACATGTGTTTCCTCATAAATTTAAGTAGAGAAACAATTATACAAAATAAAATAAAATAAAATTCCAGCTTTACAGCAACTCAAGATAGAAGCACAGAGCTCTGTGGGCCGATGGTCTTTTCAACTTTGTTAGAGACCATGCAGAAGTGTATTAAGTCTAATATATATTCCTGAAGTAACATTTGTAGCCATGAAAAGAAAAATACAGCCAAATCTTCTTTCTCTGAGACTTTTTTTTTCAGATTTAACAAATAAGTCTTAAAGTTAGGAATGTTTTCACAAAATACTATACACATCACTGAAATGTAAATAAAATTAAGTAAGAGAAAGCATATGAGCATTTTAAAATCATATAATGTATATGTTTCTCTATGTTAAAGTGGAAAATGTAGAAAAGAGACTTTTGGGATCAGGAAAAGGGAGGCAAAGAAGTAAGAATTATCCCCAAAGTAGCTGTGTGGCCTTGGGGTGGGGTGACCATTTGGGTTGGGTGTGAAAAAAAGCTGCATTCTAAGACAATTGAAGAAAATATTCACCTCATCTATCAAACTTGGCCTCAAGAAATGAAGAATCTGGGGATTTTTTTTTTTGTCAGTGATCTCAAACAAACTGAGACATTCAGCTTCCTGAGTACTGTTCCTCCATACACTGGTTCACTGGGGGACCCTTACTGGTATCAGCAGGGGCGGACAATCCCCACAGGCACAGAAAGCCCAGAGACGCCAGCTTCTGGAGTTATCCATATACTTGGAACAACTGAGGAAAAACACAGGAGGACTGTAAAAATCCACGTGGGAGATTCTGGAATATCAACTGTTGCAAATTTGCAGGATCTTAATAAAAACACCAAGGGATTCCTGGGCATCCTGGTCCCACTAACTAAGGTCTGTATCTCTTCCTCCCCCACCAGAAGTCCTGGCCAGATTTAGCTATAGCCCCATAGGTAAGTTCCACTGGTGCTTGTGCACTTCTTTGCTTTTTAAAAATAGCATTTTTTGTTTTTAT